AACAAATATACGCGATTTAAATCCGGAAAAATAGTTTCATTTCCTATGTGTAACAATCGCGAAAACCTAAAAATAGAGTAAATGTCAGCGATTAGTACCATGTGAAATAACACCTTAGGTCAAAGAGGTTCGTATTAATATTATTTGTTTCAGTTTGTGGAAGGTAAAGGGGTTGTTTGTTTTCGTATTCATAAAATGATATTATTTATTCAGTTTATATTTGTCGCTGTCAAATGGCCACCTCTTTGAACTATGTAGGTACATTATATACTAAATCTATGAAGTACATATATATAATATAGCACTTCTACCTACTTTTACGATGAGTCCTAATTGTTTTTTCATCCTCTAAGGTCCTAATAGCTAGGTTAGCTGCCAAACAGAATGTCAAAAATTACAAGAGAATGAGAACGCGGGATTTTGTGCACATGTTAATATTGTAAGGCCAAATATTAGTAAATAGACATGAAATAGACTTATTTTCATAGTTCTAGCCTAATACACAGATATCGTTGGTTCTAGCTTGCTTATTTAATACCGGTGCGGTCACATGAGTCCGACGTAGCCTATTATAAACGGAACAATTATTTCGTCTATACTCCGGGGAATCCTACCGTAAGTAACTCACTCTGCAGAAGGTGCAGAAAAAAGTAAAAATTATAGGCACTGAATTGCCATTTTTTTTTTGTTTGGCGTTGCAGTTATAATTATCTGTCTAATTAAGTATGCGATTAAATAAACATAAAAAGTAAGCACTATATACTATATTACATATAATTCATAAGTAATGTAAATAATATTTTTTTCCATAATTTATAGTAGAATACTTCAGTGATCATGACATATAAAAATCACAGATAATTCTCCATCACTAATATAGGAAATTTCACTACAAGCAATATTCTATAGAAAAATCTTAAGAAATACAAAGTTTTATCACTTTATCACAGATGAATAGCCGTTATTTATATCAATAACATTATATTAAATAATAATTTGACGACGACTGTGGTGCGCGGTTATCCAACGGTTTACACTGTGGGCTCGATAACGATTTATATGAAGAGACGAAACAGATTTTCTTTATTATTTTTTAAAGTTGTAATACAAAGATTTAGTAGTTTAAAAGTTTTTTTTAATTTTGTTAAGAATTCATTAATAAAACACTATCTTACCTTTTGATACGGATAACGTTGGAATTAAGTAATGTTAATTTTATACTTATGTTTCCGTCTACGATAACGACAAATGCGTCAATGAATAGATAATTTATTATATAAATGTAGGTCATATCCTATTATTTTAGGTGTAATAAAGTTTTAATAACTTTATTTATGATGAAAAAACTAGACCATTCCTAGAAGTTTTAAAGTGATTAGACATAAATAGATTAACTGAAAAAAAAATTATGACTAAGAATAAATGTATACTGTTTCCTGTTGAATGTTTTTTTAATTTGCACCGTTCTGCAATTCTTTCTTTATGCGAAATTCCTCCTCTTTTATTATTGTTTGTGTTGTATGATTGGTGTGTATGTTATTACTTACATACAAACATACGTTATAAAATCACTCCATATTGACATCAAATTGTCATTTATTACAAAATAATCATATCTCTTCGCTATTCAAATATTAAGGACTTTTAATAACAAGGTCAGTCACGAGAAAAGAAATATCACTAGGCGAACATTGGTGAGCTACGGGAAGAATCAAAAGCTCGTGATTCAGTCAGGTGAACAACGAGAAGAAATAATTGTCCGTTGCCCACTGATGTGAAGTATAATTTAATTCAGTCAGGGGGCCCGCGGCAAGAAGTGTTAAAAATACTTATAAATATGAAGAAGTAAGAAATAAATTTTATGGTAATTCATATAATTTTATGAAATCGAAACAATTTTTTCCAACAAAAACACTTTTACTAGATAAAATCGATTAAAAAGAGTCGTAATTCCGATCACAATCTAATTAAAGCCATTCAATTTGATCGCACTAAACAACAAAAAAACTGCAATAACAGGCTTAAACTTTTAACATACAATAAATTGCTTTAGAACTAAACTAACAAAAAAGAAATGTGTTAGATCTGAGCATTATTTATTAATTCATTAATTAATAAATAATTATTATTATAATTAATAAATTAATTCATTACAACCATATTTGCTAACTCCTTTCGAAATTCTATTAGACTTGTACTTTCTTTCAATTAGTGCAGAGTACCATGTTTAACAACCATATACGTACATACATGTTCACTGTTCTTCAGAAGTTATTATTACAAACGTTATTATACATAAATAAAGCATTTATATAGAACAGTAACATTTTTGTATATAACAGTAGTTTCTTCCTATTATGGCATTTTTACACATGCAATAGCAGAAAATTGATAGAAGATATAGCCATAATATAATAAAAAAACAAGCAGGGTAACTGCATATAAGCGTAGTAGCGTAGCTTGTAGGTGTGCTGCTCTGTGTACGGACGCACACATTCGCATAAACTCGAGGTGCATTCACAATGCATAGCGCGGGTTATCGCACATGCCATTTATTATAGAACTGAAGTGTTCGTTCAATGTTTGTAAAATTACGTCAAATAGTAGACATGTTTATTGTTGTGTTTGTGGTGGCTTGAACAAGAATGCTTTTTTTATAATATTTAATGACGGGACGAACAAGTTGTGTACCTGGTGGTAAGCTACACGCCTGTTTATAACAGTTACAGTGCCACTCACAGCTTTAATTCGCAAACATCTGAAGGGCACTGCCACTACGCCTGTCACCCTGAGAAATAAGTGGACAAGTCCCATGGGCCTGTAATTTCACCAGCACCCTTACTCTTCAAAACCGGAACGCAGTAGTGACAACAATACTGCTTGGCGGCAGAAATAGGCATGGTGGCAGTACTTCCCTGGACGAACCTTTCACAAGGAGCTCTACCTTAGAGAGCTGTACTGATATTGTGTATAGTGGTTATTCGAATATAACACGAGAACCCCTTGCTCTATTTGTTTTATTATACTATGGTATAGGGTCAAATTGTCAAGTACATGTAACGATGCATGAGACACGTCACTCTATATTCAGAACTCGTCGCGCAATTAAGTAAAATGCTCGAGCACAAGATAGCGTGCACACGTTCATTTGTCAGTATACAACATCCTTCAGACGTCTCTGTCATCAGTGCTAATGCTCAAAACACATCCGACGGACATGGCGACTGACCAACTCAGCATGACTTCAATGCGTATTGCGATTCATTAGTTCGGTACATTTTGACTAAAAGTATTATACGTCATTATTTTGTCTGTGTGTATACAGCGACACAGTCCACTGGGTTTATTTATTAGCAAGTGAAAGTAAGCATTTAGAAAAACAAATAACGTTTTAGATAAACCTTTAAACGGTTTGTTCAGGGTTATATATACCCTGAGTGTACATGCATGTTCGACCTCACTTCACCCTAACTTCAACAAATTAAAAGATATTGCAAACACTGTGAGGTTCAAAATGTAAGTTTGGTGAAATTATAGGCACATGGGACTTGTCAACATACGTCTTAGGGTGACGGGCGCAGTGGCAGTGCCCCTCAGGTTTTAGCGATTTTAAGCTCTGAGTGGCAATGTAACTGTTATGGACAGGCGTGTAGCTTACCATCAGGCGCACGACTTGTTCGTCCCGTCACTAGATTATATATATTATATGATATTTTTATAGGATGAATGAAGTCATTGGATGTGAAAGATACTCAAAAGTAAAAGTTGTTCATTGACGAACATAAGGACCTAGTTAAAGGAATTAATTAAACAAATTAACACTATAACAACACATCATTCATATTTGAGCTCAGGCTTCTTGTAAAATAACGGCGCAACTTCCCTACAAGCGTAATCAATACACGGGTAATGAAATTTGAATCCGTTTTCAAGGGCCCTTTTAGGTACAACATGCTGTCCCTGGGTTAACATCATTGCACGTTCAGGGTTCAAAAGTGTGTTCAGCACGAATTCTGGTACTGGCAGGATAGCAGGTCTTCTGAGAGCATTTGCGAAAGCCTGTAGAGAAATAATTTATGTTTATTAACTACACCCTTAAGTGATATACTAAAAACTAAACTAAGGTTGAGGTACTTAAAAATTTATGATTTTAAAGAACAACACATAAGACTATTTTTTTGTCCGCTATAGCGGATAGAATCAATTTTAGTCAATAAATTTTTTGTAATGTGAAAGTCTCTAGTGGTCAGTGAATGAATATTTTATTTATTATGTTATAAACAATACGACGTAATACGATAAATATATATAACGATATCGATAACGAATAAATAAATACTGTTTAATAATTGGGGAAATCAATTTTAGTTATTATTTTTTTGTAATGTGAAAATCGCTGGATGTCAGTGAATGAATATTTTATTCATTACATTATAAACAATACGACATGATACTGATTTTTTTCTGCCACCAAATTGGGGAAATCAGTTTTAGTGATCTTATTTTTATAATGTGAAAGTCTCTGGCGGTCAGTGAATGAACGTTTTATTTGTTAGATTATAAACGATAGGACATAATACTGTAATGTTTTTCGCTAGAATAGAAAAACTCAATTTTACGGCCATGAGTTCTTTCGGGCGGCCCGGCACTGAAGATTCTATTTCACTAAACAACTGTGTTCGGTTATAGAAAACACGTTACCCTTTTTCAAATATGAAATTTCTTAACAAAAGCGGCGGCGGTGCAACGCCGTTAGTGGAAAAACATTACAGCCTTTGATCGCAACAAATTGAAAGCTGGAGGTATAAAATTATATGATTATAAACTTTACAATTGTTACTACATTTAAGCTTTTTTGCAAGTATTTTAAATGATAGGTAACAAGCTACTGAAATATTTTATCAATATTACATATTATATTACGTTGATAATATTGTAACGACGCGCGCACCTATTGCAATAGGATGTTTGTGTAGCTATAATGACGACGTTGGAGTCAAAGGAAGTTTCAGTGGGTAAAGCCGAGCAACTTCTTTACATGCTTCATCTATTGTTTTATATCGAAATTTAAACCCAATTCCTTCAGCTCTTTTAGATATCACATATTGTCCAGTGAGTAACATACGGGCGCGTTCTGGGTTGTACAAAAATTTCAGAAGTAGTTCAGGGATAGGTAACAATGCTGGACGTCTTAGGGCTCTTGCAAAAGCCTAAAAAAATAAGTAGGATATCAATTCATACAAATTAACGTACATATTTAAAACTGTAGATGGCGACATTTGGATAAAATAAAATTTTAATAATTTAAATATAAAATATTGAACCTCGAAACTGTGTAAAATATCAAATTGTCGTACCAAATGCGATGTATAAAATAAAAAAAAGAAATGCAAAATTATTTAAGCAACATTTTAGGAGCGTTCAAATAAATATTATTTACAATTGGTGAAAACGATAAACTGTCGCATGTTGTTGAAAAGATAACAAATCGAAGGTTTCTTAAGGTTTACTTTTTGATTTGTTAGTTCGCATGAGGTTGTATAGATGGCATTTCTTTGATTATTATTCTCAAAACTAAGCAGGTAACGTTTTAGCACTGACTTTTACTTTAAAATATTGTAAGTATAGTTAAGAAGCCTAACTGTTTTATAATATGTTATTGTATATATAATCAACGGCTTAACAAGAGTAATACCCTTGACAAAATGTAACAGTTGTCATCTATTGGCTTTTTCGAATATCATTACAATAGCATCGCGGGTTTGCTTGGTATAGTCTATTGACCAGCATCGTTAAGAATAAAAAAGCGTCCGAATACGCGGACAACGGACATTTCTTTGTATGACAATAATGTCGTACAAAGAAATGTACATAAGTACTAGTAATATTTTTTCTTTTTATTGATTGTAATTATTATCTATAGATTAGTAAGAGAAAATCCAAAAAATCAAAGTTAGTTCGTATAGATTTCAAGGAAGTTGAAGTCGTCATGTCTATGAACACATGAAAACCACCACGTCTCCAAAAAGATAGAGGAAACGTTAGAAAGTACTGGTAGGTTAACTTTAGTGTTTAATTCACTTACTTAACCTACCTGTGTAAATTCTTCATTTGTAATGACTTGTGGTGCCACTCCATTCACTATGCCTTCTATTTTAGATTCTATAGCAAATTGTATCATTCGACAAAGATCATCAATGTGAATCCATGGGAGGAACTGCTTTCCATCGCCTAAACGTCCCCCTAAGCCAAGCCAGAATGGTAGAAACATATTCTTGATCATACCACCCCATCTGCCAATAACCACGCCAGACCGAATTATTACCTAGAAAAGAAAAAAACAAAAGATTTGAAATTTAATGTTTAATATAAATAAACTCAAATAATCTGTATTTCATAGGTAAGCAAATTATGCGACCAGCGACCAGATCTTTACTCCCTGATGGGTATAAAGCTAACCTGGCCCCAATACGACTAATATGGCTGAAGCGAGCTTTCCGTATCGCTTTTTTGCAGGATCTAGCGGCTTTATTAAAGGCGATGACTCGGCCCGGAAATTGGTTTCTCAAAATTTCCATCGTTGTGTGAGAGGTTGCTCCGTCCTGCTGGAACCAACAATGCTCGAAACCCAATTCAGCAACTTGCGAGGAAAAACTCGTTTAACATCTACCTATAACGATCACCAGTTACGGTTCCGGTGGTTCCATCGTCGCCCCTAAAATATAAGGGCCAATCACTTTTTCACTGCATATGCCACACCAAACAGTAACTTTAGGGGATGCCATGGCTCTCCTTACATTACATGTGGGTTCTCTATGCCCCAAAAACGCAAATTTTGTTTGTTAAGTTAATCACATAAGCGGAAATGGGCTACGTAACTCATTATGATTTTGGACACGAAGTAATCCTCTTCTTGCACCAAGTTTGACAAATGTGCATCAACTCGGGAGGTGGTCATTTGACCGATTTAATTTTTTCAACTTAATGTCATCAATTTCACATTTTCAAGTAAACTTTTCGTCAAAATGGAGGTAATTTTTTTTTCATTTCTAACAAAATGGTAGCTAATTGTCATTGTCACATTACTTTTGCGCCACCTTTTATATTACAAGCCACAAACCTTAGATAATGATTGTCACCTACTACCTGGTCACATAATAATTATACTGTATGTATGCAATGCAAGTTACAAACTGTATAAGCAGTTGGAAATTAAACAATTTTTTGGGATCTAAATCAAGTATATTGTTTTTTTTTTTTTTTTTCAAAATCCAATGTCTCAGGTCACACACGATCAGCCATGATAATGGGAAAAATTGTTTCATTTCGTACGTGTAACAATCGCGAAAACCTAAAAACTCCACGTCTAAGCAGTGTTTAATATTTATACACTTACAAGTCTTACGGGTGGTTTTATATCGGCTGCAGCTTCCCAATCTTTGCACAAAGTAGAAAAAAAGTCTTTCCCAGTAATAGCACTGCTTTCATCATACCTACAATATGGTGAAGCCTCATAAGCACCTACACCTGTTATGAGAACAAAAACCTTAGGTTTATGTTTGGCTGTATTCACTGCCTTTGCAAGTGCTTTAGTTGTATAGATGCGAGAACTGGCTACATTTTGCTTGAACCTGGAAAGGTAATAATTGTGACAATAGTTTATTCAAGGTTTGAATTTATTCATTAACAAGAACAGTATAGCAGTTATTCTAGAATACACAATGTCATGTATCATACATACAGGGTGTCCCACGGCTATGCGACATGGATAGAGAGCACGTTAAATATTGTACATAGGATGTTTTGCTTTTTTGGATATTTTGCTGACTGTTTGAGCCGGAGCCTCATATTGAAATATGAATACTGACGGTAAAATGCATTATAATTCAAGCCGTGGGAAATCTGTAAATTAATATACAGTGATGACAGTGTGACAGAAAGGTCCTATTATGTTTCATTTGAAAACAAACAATTCTAGCACAATAATGTAGTTTCCCAAACAGATTTTCAGTCGACTGGATATTTTATATGAGAGCTCAAAACTTTTCAGCGAATTTAATATTATGTTTGTATAAGGCTATAATGGGTATTAAAAAAAGATAGTATTAGAATCAAATTAAATGTATTTATCAAATGTAGTAAGTTGTAGCCACCTTAATATTTTTAGCAATACATAAAAGAATACATACAACTGTCTAACAATACAAAATGCCTAACAATAACATATTGAAATTATAAATCTGTGTTCCTAATTTCACTGTGTGTCTAGGGCGTGTGACGGGTTAATAAGAAATATTTACCCAGGAGTCCATTTTTTAGTCAGATCCATGACTTGTTGACCAGCACAATTAACAACTGCATTTGTCATGGGTAGCAGGCCGGTACATTCAAGGTCTGTCCATGAAATGTTGTTAATGCCAGGCATACGCGATACATTTGTAACAGTGTAAGAGCTACGTATTAGAAGCTCCCCTAAGCGAGATCCTATGAAACCAGTACCACCACCTATGGGAATTTTAAAGGTGAAATTAAACTGGAGGGGAAGATTCTTGAGTAGCTAATATCAAAAGGCGACAGAGTAAGTCAGGGCAAGGCGGGGAGAAAGAGGAAACGCTTGCAGTCTGGAGGTTAGGTTAAGTTAGGAAGTTAGGATTTTTAACATTTTTTGGTTGGAATTTATTTTTTATACTACTCTAAATTTTCTTGATTTATTTTTAAATAAATGTTTCATATTTATTACAGTATAGAACACTTTTAGTCAACTAGACTATTATAAAATAAAAATTTGCTTACCGATTAATACTCGCGATGTCGCCATTGTTTGATAGTTTTAGATAGTACTTAATATATGTAAAGACGATTCTATCTCTTCAAATAAAAATTATCAACTGCATTTCGTTTATAATAATACTTCAATTAAATGTACAACAGAATTCACAATTTTTACTGGTGATTTCGTTTTGTGAGCGAAAAAGCGAGACTTTCAATTGAACAGCTGATGTAATGTCAAAGTTTAGACGTTTATTTTTTAATTTACTATTTTCAAGGAATATTTTTCTCGTAATTGGTTAACCGATCAAACACAATATTTAGTAGTCAGTATCATACGTCGTATCACTGCTGTACTCTTTAATTTGGTCGCATGTTAGTAACTGTCAGGCTGGATTTTAGGTTATCGTAGGAAAGTAGTACTTCTTATTATTGTTAAACATCTGAAATTAAATATATTTAGTACTATTTCAAATAGGTAGTTCGAAATGTTGTCTATTATCAGAAAATATATATATTTAGAACTCATATATCTATAACCATTTTAAAAATAGTTCATTAAAATTTTACGGCAACTCTCAATACCTCATTTAAAAGTAATAAAGTTGTCATAATGAAGAAAAAAATGGCAATAATACTTTTTGCCGCAGTGTTGCCACTTAAGAGATTCCCCAAATTGCCGGGAGTTTCAACTCGATTGAGGATTTTGTGGTAATTGGCGCTATGTAGGGAAAATGCGGCAATTCTAATTTCTTTTTATCATTTTGCTTAATCTATCAATTGCTGATACATCGCTAATTTGATGGTCACTGATGACACTATGATGAACGACATTGATTATAAAATTATTAGCATTATTTGGTAGGCAGAGCACTTGGTTCTGAATTGTAAAATTATCAGTTGGTGCGTGTTGCGTACTCGATCCTTCCTCCTGCGTAGGCCGGTGCCAGGTAATCAGCTATTGTTAAATAAAGTCGAGCATTTGGTACGTTCACACCATAACTTGCTACTTGTCAGCTTCAAATATTAAAAGGTCTAAATTTGTCACCAAACAAAATTCTAACACACCCTCCATAACGTTATGAAACTAGAAAACAGACACTGGCAGAATTGAGACTAAGTAGACTAAGCAAGTAACTCGCAAACCATTCATTAAGAAAGAAAAGGTCTAAATTTAATTTAACTCATTGATTATTTCTAATCACGCGCACGCATAGTATCACCAAATGTGCAACAAATAATTATATTACTCAATTTTGTAAGGTCAAGAAAAATTATTTGTCCTTTTTCAAAGACCCATTAATGTTGGATCTCATTATAATAAATAAACTAGAGATCGTCTAATTTTAGAATTTGCTGCACAGTTTGCATTTTCGTAATTCGTTCTTATATTACCTTGATTTTTGGAATTGGCAACGCTGCATTGCTTCTTTAATGATTCGATTCTTGTATTTAGTTTGTGTTTGGATTCGCTCTGGGCCTTTTGGAGGGAAAAGTGTCGTTTTTATTTTGACTTTCAATTATTTTGTGAAATCTAGTTTAAAGTGGAATAGGATAGTGCTATTGTGCCTTAATCGAAGATTAAAACGCGAAATTATACGAATCTCGAACTAAAATACCCGTATCGGCCCGTTCTAAGGAATCCCGAGTCAATCCAATCACGCCGCCTCAAATTGCCTATCCTTTTTGTGGTGGCCATATTTACAGAAATATAATTAAACGTTTATGTTTTCGGCTGAAGGACTTTGTTTCCATGGCCAGCAATAAATTAAAAAAAAAAAACTTTAATGATTGTCGAATTTGATTTGTATTATGCGAATTATTAGAATTTTGTTGTGATAGTTTAATACATTTTTATTATACGGAATAATAAAAATATGATTCCATTGTACATTGAAAACGGTGTCCCATTGGTATGGAATTCTCAAGGTGAGAGGTTTGATTACGCGTAGAGCGTTAACAATATCGGTGGTTTAAACTTCTGTATTTGTTTACATTTCAGATTGGCACGATCTACGGTCTAAGCACCGAATTTGTGGAGCACTTATTGGTTCACTGCCTTCCTTTCCTAGGCAGAATGATTTTACAGGTGATTAAAAAACTTAGCTGATCTGTTTAATAAGGTTTGCTTTTTTGCATTAAAATTTTATTATACTAGACATAATGTCGTTTTGCGTGCGCAAAACTTTCCCTTTGACTTAGGTTTTCCCGGTTACTCAATTATCATGGGTTCTAAATTCAAATTTTTATTCTATACAGTTATGTAAATTTTGAGATGAGGCAACCTTAATCGTTGTAGTTACAGGAAAGCAGTTCTAAAAGACTATCCATGAATTTTGAAGATATTTTGATTGGCATACACAGATTTCGAAAGAATAGTACAATCAGCAAGATAAAAAGCAATTTTTACAAAACTTTTTTTATGCCATTCGATCCGGTCTCTGGTAAAAATCAATAGTCTCTTTGGGACCAACTGCGGTAAGAGTACTCTAAATGTCAGAAATCGCAAAAAACTTTTTACCATACATTTTGTAGTAACCTATTTAATAATCAGTTATTCTAGGTAGTTAAGGAAACTAACAAATTGACAATGTATTATGTATTTCAAAATAAAAACAATAACGAAAAGCAAAATAACATAAAAACTCTTTGATAGTAAGTGCTTGAATTGATTGCCTCCTTGGTGGATGCATCGAAGAGCAAGAGCAAGTAGTGGCTGATCGTGATCAGATCAGGCCTACGTGGCCATTTGATAAGACTATGTGTTCCAATTAATTTGTTTCCACACTTGAGAACATTTTGATTAAAAATCATCTTAAAATTGACAATTCTCTATTAACAAAACAAAGCAAAGCTGTTCCAAATTTATAAAATAGTGTATGATTATAATTTGGTTTTATTTAAGTCTTATTTGTGGAGTAGTGGCCAGTTTCGTTTCTAGCAAAAATTTTTCATTTAAAATATATGGTAAAAGATTTTTTGCGATTTCTGCCATTTCGATTACTCTTACCTCAGTTGATCCCATAGAGACTATTGACCCTTACCAGAGACCGGATCGGATGGCATAAAGAAAAGTTTTGTAAAAATTGCCTTTTATCTTGCTGACTGTACCATTTTATCAAAATCTGTGAATGCCAATCAAAATATCTTCAAAATTCATGTATAGTCTTCTAGAACCGTTTTCCTGTAACTACAACAATGCCACATCCCAAATTTACAACCTGTATATAGGTCAGTGACATTATACTAATTCTATGGTTAATTAGTATATAGTTTCAAAGTGCGTGCATATTAGTTGAAGTTTGACTGAGTAGTTTTATTTGTAATTTGTGCAATTAATGTAAATGCAATGATCATAAGTATAAGTAAAATTCATACATCACAAGAAAGATCATAAGTAAATAAGATCATTGTGTAAATGCCCAGAAAGCTTTGGACACATCGATATACTCGATGTTTGGACACTATTTCAATCATGTTAAATAATCATTATTTTAAATGACCTTTTTTATTTTATTTGCCTTATTATAAAATACCAATTCTTTTTAGGACTTCCTATGGCTCTAATGACAGAAGAAGCTGCGTTGTTGGTGGAAAAAGGAATATGTGAACTCTACCAATTGCCAAAGATAAATGAAAAACCCCCAGAAAAGGAAAAACAAGAAATCTTAGCACAAGAACAAAAGTACTGTACTATTAGTTAGGTCCAAACAAATACAACAGACTTGCAAAGTCCCAACAATGCAGTCATCTACTACCACAAAACTCGAATAGCTCTAAAGCTACTTATTTGTGAATGTTTTTAACAATTTAATTCTAAAAAGCTTTAATACTTACAGTACTTAATAATATTTTGAACATAGTATTGTTAACTGGTGGATATTTAAGTGATATATAAATATTTTGTTAACAGAGTTCTAGAAGAACAATCTGAAGCTCTGAGAAAGCGTAAAGTAGAACAGTTGTCTCAGAAAATTGACATCATTATGGCTGGCAAAAAACAAAAACTTTTATCAAAAGGCGTTACAGGTATAGATGACTTCTTTATAAGGTGTAAATGACAAATTAGATCAATCTAGTATAATCTAAATGTAATATAAGTGAGTATATAATTACTACTATAAAATAATAATTGTATTATTTTATAGTAGTAATTTCTTCTCCTGACATTTGAAACCTGTGTATAATTGTTAATACAAAGATCAAACACACACACAGCTGGATACAAACCAATGTCTTCCATCAAACCATGTCAGACGCTATGCCAACTAAGCCACGGAACAAACTATAGATCCTACGAATTTTTCTATGTGCAGTTCTTGTTCTTGTTGCAGGTCTTTGTTTTTGGTTTTTAACGACTTTTTTGCCGTAGCGCCATCTGTGAGAACTCTATGAAAGCTTTTCTTCACTTCAGCCAGGTACCTTTACAGGTATCAGCAGCTGACAAGAGATATCGCTTTAATGATTGTAATTTTAAGTTTATTGAAATTGAATGTCACGATGTTTGACCACCATGATATTCAATTGTTTTTGTGAAATTACTGTCTATAAACTGTTTAACTTTAATTTGTGGACATTTTAAATGTAGTATGTTTAAATTGAATTAAATACTGTAATTTTAACTGCTTTAGACTAAATTTATATTGCAGCGGAATGGAATGGAAGCGAATTTTGTAACGGTATTGTAATAGCGTAATGAACTTTATGGTCGATTGTGCAACGTACAAACTAGATATGAGCCGAAAATCACGTCTCGCGTCTTCCGCGGAATTCTCGCGCAAGCTCGAGAATGCTCGCGCATTCGCGAGAATTCCGCAGCTGCCCTCGGTGACGCCTGGTGGATCCGCAGGAAGTGACACGAAGGCAGGCGCAGTGTGACGTCTTGACGTCGAAATTCTATAGCAATCAATAACACATTTTAATAAAGCGATACCAGGTCAGCTTGCGGTAGCTGGTCAAGGTGCCGGCTGAGTGAGAATGTACATAAATCTCTCACAATGTGTCACTTACACCGTTGAAAGCCGAAAAATCTAATACAAAGATTCATAACAGACAGAAGAATTTCGTCGAACTGTAGCTCCCAGGTTCAAATTCTGTCAGGTCAAAGATTTTTCTTCGTGTTCTGTCTTAGTATTAAAAATTATTACAAAGTATTTTACAGATGTCAATCTAGACAAACAGGCTTTGCTGCAGGAAGAGATAAACAAACTGCCATGCTTAACGCCAGGAAATGTGCTCGTGCATTTGCCTACTGAACACTATATACCAACAGGTATAGTTGTGATTATGATAAATAACTTTAATTCAGTACATAAAAAAATGAGGATATGTACAAACATTTAATTCATTCAGTCAGTCATCGTATATGATTATTACTGTATGAATTTGTATGGGATTCAGTATAGGTAATAAATATCCTGTATTATAATGTTTAATCGAGAATTTCGAATTTCGACTGAATTTTTCATTTCCATAGTTCACGTAAGTTATAATTACAGCGTGACCATTGACTTACAAATAAATATAAAGTCAATGAGCGTGACACATTGTTTAACTCAATGGACGACGGGTCTAATACAAAAACCACGAAAAAAATGTCCCAAGTCAACCTATTCGAAATTTAAATTGTAATGTCATCGCAGTATCGCGCTGTCAGTAGAACAAATGAAGACTAAAGCGGAGTGTCGCGCTCTGTATACGATTTTAGCGCCTTACAAGTGCGGACACTTTTTAGCGCGGACCCGACGTCCATACAATGAGCGTGACACATTGTTTAACTCAAGTATAATGCTACATTCATTTGTATAATAATGCATTATTTAATATGTTTTCGTATATTTTGTATTTGCAGAAAGAAAAAAGTTGGATGTAAATGCACTAAGATCTGGCCTAACTGAGAGAGATAATGATATTAGGTATTCAATATTTAAAGACCTCTGGGAAAGAGGGTATTATATCACTAGTGGTTCCAAGTTTGGTTCTGATTATTTGTTGTATCCAGGTAAAAGCTCTGTACAGAATGTTGTATTTATATTCGCATAAATAGAAACTAAGCCTAACCCACCCTTTGTCTGTGAATTGCGGGAGCGGAAGACACTAGATCAATTATTGGGCGTTTCCCTCCCTTATTTCATGAAAGGACGAGCTTATGGCGACTAAGCTATTATAAGTATAATAATATAATTCCATTTCAGGAGATCCCGTAAGATTCCACGCCATGTACATGGTGCGATGCGTCTGTGACCGAACCACACTATTTCGTCCTGCAAGTCTAGTATCTTTTGGACGACTTTCTGTGGCCGTTAATAAATTAGCTGTCCTGGCCTTTTGTAATAGTTACGGGAAAATTGAATACCAAACACTGCAGTGGCATGATAGTTAAATGAATTCGTGAAAACTTTACTCGCCATTTGAAATATAATTTTTTATTTGTAATTTTTTTGTATTTAATTTCAAAACACCCATATTATTATTTGAAGCAGTTTTAAGTTTCCGGAACTGGCCACTTACATAAACAATATTCAAAAAGTAATTACAACATTTGAAAATGGACCTCTTCGGCTGTAGAGTACAGTTTGTTTCATCTGACTGTCACTTGTTTTTACATTGTGGCGTCGTTTTAGAAATTGGTTGTCTACATCACCAATGGATTTAACTCGTGAACATTTTCGTAGTATGATTTTCTACGACTTTCAGTGTAATTTACCAGCTCAGCGGAGCTTCGCTCGGCTTCAAACTGCTTTTGGCGATGAAGCACCATGCAAAACGACTACTTAAAGGTTGCAGGTTTGCAGAATTCAAACGCGGTCGTGTGAATCTCAGCGACGAATTTCGTGAGTGTCGTCCGTCCACTGCTGTGAACAACAAAAACATCGATGCTGTGCACCGTACGATAAAAACAGACAGGCATGTGACCTACCATGAGATTCGGGCATCTTTAGGCATAGGCATGAGTCAAATACAATCAATACTACACAAACGTTTGGGTGTGAAAAAGCTGTGCTCCCACACAATTTGACTGAGGCTCAAAAAACGGATCGCGTCATTTGGTGCAATGCCATGCTTACCAGATTCAACGAAGGGGCGTCAAATTTGGTGTGGGACATAGTAACTGGTGACAAAATATGGATTTATAGTTACGATCCCAAAACAAAGCAGCAATCGAGCGTATGGGTCTTTCGAGATGAACCGAAATCAACCAAAATGGCGCGAGTGTGCAAAGTGCCTCTAAGCGGATGATTGCTTCTTTTTTTAATAAAACTGGACACGTGGCTACTGTTGCTTTGGAGAATTGTTGCACCGTGAATAGGGATGGGTACAAAACCATTTGTTTGCCGGAAGTTATTGACAAACTCCGTAACGTAACGATAATGTCTCACACGAACATACAGACAAATGAATTTTTGAAGGTGAACAACGTTGGCCTTATGAGCCAACGCGCGTACAGTCCCGACCTGGCACCGTGTGACTTATTTATTTCCAAAAATTCAGAACCAGTTACGCGGTCAACGATTTTCATCACCCGAAGAGGCTATCGAAGAGTATGAAAAATGTGTTTCAGAGATTCTCACGGAGGAGTGGTACAAATGTTTTCAAAATTGGTTATTCGTATGAAAAGTGCATTATCGCTAACGGAGAATATTTTCAGAAACAATAAATTCATTTCTGACCATTTATAGTATTTTTTTCTTATTCATTCCGGAAACTACAGGGCCACTGACACACATACCATTTCAATTAATTTAGTGGAATAGTTTCCAAATTAAAGTAGTTTTGGTGACTAGAGCAGAAAATTTTCAAAAAAGTACATGAAAAATCATAACTTCTAAATTTGTAAGTCAATGCTTCTAAACTATTGATTTTCGTAAAACTATTATAATGTCCTCTATCCACAGAACATTATACTCACAAGGAGCCTCTATGTGAAAAAACTTTTGTACCACTGAAAATGGGCCACCTATATTTTGTAAGAAATATATAATCGTAAAATAGAAAAATTATTTTCATTATCATTTATTTAAATATTATAAGGGTAAATAAGCTTATTCCATATACTAATTTAAAAAGTTTGTTAATTGATATTATTAGGTTTCCGAAATGTTACCGTGTAGATGGCGTGTCGGTGTTGATTGTGATTGGTCCGAATACTTTATCTACCAAATTCGACTAGCCAATGACATTGCTTTTAAAGTTCCCTACTTGCGAAAAATGGCGGGAATTGAAAAAGAAGGGATTTACGAGGCAATATCTTGAGGTGAAAGAAAAATTTATGCATTCGTATCTCATCAAATGTTAAAGTTAGATTGGTCAGGAATTATAACGGTATTTTGTGGTTACAAATTTTGTTGAGTATATTTTAAAGTTCTAGTATAAATTGTTGGAGGAATAGATAATTTAATAAATCAGTTTGGTTAATACGGCGTTTTATTGGAGTGTTTGGAAGAAGTCTGCAAGTCAGAATTGGGAACGAAACACGTGAGTAAATTTGTCGTCATTATAATTTTTTAACTTTATTTTGTTTGTATGACCGTGTGAAGCAACATACACCATTTAAACTGACACCTTGTTTTTGTTACGTGTCGTCATACACGAATAGAAATAAAATTAGTCGCAATACTAATGTTTCCATCTACTTTTGTAGAAAATATTTTTTTTAGATATATATTTTTGCTGTTATGGATAGCATATTCAAAATTTAATAATAACTACACATTTAAATAACCTCTTGTGTGTGCAGTACGATGCGAAATAAAGGCAGAATTATGAAATTGCTCTCTATACTAGTAAATTATACATCTATTATCAAGTGAAATGAGAATAAAGTAAAGTAAGATTGGTACAACAGGAAATTGTTTCCTTTTATGTATATTGATACACACGGGTGGCAATAGTTATTTTAATAACTTAATTCTAAGCAGTTTTCATAAGAATGAGGTACTGCTGCTTACCCACTAATACGTCGGCATAGCAATAGTTATTTTAATAAATTAATTCTAGGCAGTTGACTCACTCTCAAGTGAGGTACTGCTGCATATTGATACATATATATTGATGGCAATAGTTATTTTAGAAATTTAATTCTATGCAGTAGTCATAGCAGTGGGGTACTGCTGTTTATTATACCTTGTTATCCTTCCACTTTTATGATTTTATGTGAGTGGACATAAGCTAATGGTTGATAGACGCCTCGACATTACTTTCATTTGTGACCGTGCATTGACGTGATGTTAGATGATAATAATCTATCTACAGTTATTGTACAAAAATTGTGTCGGTTATGTTTTCCCGTTTCAGTGAGAATATGGATGTGGCTGAAAAATCTTCTCGTGGACGACGATCGTGGGTACCATCACAATCGAGGGCAGAGACCCCATATGAAGACGAAGAATGGTTGGATGAAGAAATTTTAAGGGAATCTGTAACTCGTTCCTTGAGAAACAGACGGAGCAGGAGCCGAGCTCGTCGTTCTAAATCACGATCTAGAGATTCCAGACATCGCAGCCGATCACACAGACGTTTTGACCAGTGACGTGAGCACGCTTCACGTGAAGATGAACGTAATACTACCAGGTCACCCCGAGCACGGTATCAGGAGCGAAGACGCGAACGAGTACTTGAACCTGATGGTTCAAGTACTCGAATCGAAAATCGAAGTCGTAGCCGGTCACCAGCTGGGAAGCATAGGAGGACTCCAGAAGGCGACGGCGATACACGTGAGTTGTTTACTAAGTTTCCTAATATGATTCAAGGGTTGAGACAAAGTAGAAACAAGGAATCTTTTTCTAATTCCAACCTTATTCCGGAATTTGATCCTTCGTTGAAGAATCAGACTATAAATACCTGGTTAATGAGAATGCTATATTGTATGAATGGACTGATAGGCAAATTGTACATTACGCATTACCAAAGCTCGCCGGTATGGCTAAACTTTGGTATGAAGGATTACCATCCGTTTTGTTTAACTGGTCCGAATGGCAGGGCAAGCTTAGGAATGCATTCCCTGCCGACGAAAACTATGGGCAAATGCTCTCTGATATGTTGCAAAAACGCGCAAGGTTTGGAGATTCGTTAGAGACCTACTTCTATGAAAAAGTTGCCCTAATTAATCGCTGTGGCATTACTGGTAAAAGAGCTGGGGAATGCATACTACATGGAATTGATGATAGGTCTGTACGGGTAGGTGCAGAAGCGGCACAGTTGGAAGACCCTGACAAATTATTAGCATACTTACGAAACGTGAAGGTTAGGAAATCCGATTCAGTTGTTAGGCGGACTAACAGGGATGAGAAGAAGAGAATTACGTCCACCAACAGACCCCCTATAAGGTGTTACAACTGCAAGGAAGAAGAACATCCTGTATCTAAGTGCACGAAACCTATTAAGAGGTGTAGTAAATGTGACGCTGTTGGTCACTTAGATTCAGGATGCTTTCGTTCCTCAAACTCTCAACAGACGACAACGATTTTAACGATAATGAACCTCCTACTAATGTTTCTGACAAATACATACAAGAGGTAACGATTAACGGTAAGGTTAGGGTATGATTTATCGATTTAGGAAGTGAGTTAACGTTAATACGTCATAGTGACGCTAAGGAAATTTTTGGCGAGCTTAATAGTACTGACAGTCGTCCTATGGTTGGTTTTGGAGGTGCTGTCGTGAATTCTATATGTAATTCTAATGTCGTGAAAACCGCCAGAGGGCGCCGCGAAGTAAACATCGGAATTATGTTCGATTTGCTTAAAATTATTTAAATTGAATAATTAACTTCGACAACGCGTTAAAAACAAAGGTGTATACGCAAATATTATGTGCAAGTGTTTGTAAACATTTTTATATACTAAATAATTTACCATAATATACCAAAGTGTTAAGACAGTATCGTTTCAAAATACATGTTAAATCAGTGTAATTCTGTGACAAAATCATTTCAACATCTATTATTAAACGAAATAGTAAATATCTGCAAAGATTAGTTAAGTGAAACGTGCATAATTTAAAAATTTTAATAAATATTTATCAGTTATGTAGGTACTTGACAGTTGAAATGATAAATTGGACTTTGGAACCTGTTTGACATGTGTTTAAAAATATCCAAACTCAGCGCGCTTCCTACTAGCGGTTAAATTCACCACTGCAAGTAACGTCGTGGTGGTCGTGTGGCTACTACAGTTGCCTTAAGCGCTCGAGTTGCAAGTTCGATCCTGACCGGGTGATAGTCAAACAAACAAGTTACAGAGAAATAGTGCCTAAATATAAATGTTATATCATAACAACATGCCTTTGACTAATTAGTGTGAACTAAGACATTGAACTGTTGACTTTGGACAAGTTATTATTGAGTTCTATACATTATTTTGTGTGGAGGTGGCGTCATCAAAAACTTAAGTCGAAACAACGAAAATTTTTCTGTTGTTTTTTTTTTTTTTTTTAACCGACATTAAGAAAAGGAGGAAGTCT